TAAAACTTTACTTCTGACTAACCCAGAGAGAGATTTGTGGTGCTTGTTTCACACATGGGGACCAATGGCTATCAGCCTTAATGGCAATGGGACCACATCTGAAGGCCATCTGCTGGGAAACTAGTGGGCTTTCTTGGTTGGCCCCTGTGAGAACAGACACGGAGTAGATGACCCAGTGGTCTGATCTAGCAGAGCCCTGCTTAGGTTCTTATGTTCTTCTGAGTCTTCTGAGCTTGTGCATCCCACATTTCACTTCCATACTCCTTGAGAACTGTATTCCTTGGCTCACCCTTTTCCAGAATATCCATTCTCTTCTCCCGTGCATGTTCAAGCACAAATGGGAAGCACAGATCTTCCTGTGATTGATGCTTCCAACCTGTTTTATTACTTCCTGATGAGCACGAGTCAGAGATACAGCAATTGGTCTAGATCAATCTCTCAAGGCTGTGCATGCTTTAGAAGTACTTAGACGAGACCTCAAGCACGGGATTGCTCCACTCTTCGTTAAAGGGGCCATGTCTTTTCTCAGGCAGATGTGGCACTGCTCCTCTCCTGCCAATGTGAGGCCCAAAGCACTTTCTCTGAAATCTTTCAGAAGGGCGCATAGTCTTAAGATCTATGGTGCACTGGTCTTGAGGTTGAGTCATGGCAACTGGACTTCTTTTCTTTTAGGTTAGAAACGTTTTGCTGCTTGTCCAAGCAGCTTCTTCAGTCTGAAAAAGTTGGCTAGGGGGACCCCGTAAAAACAACACAGGACCAGAATCAGCAATTTACCTTCATCTAAAAGAAAAAGGACACTCATTTGAGGACAATAACGTTCACATTTTGGACAGAGAAGATAGGTGGTTTGAGACAGGAGTGGTGGAATCCATTTATGCCAAAGTGGAACATCCTTCCCTCAATAGAGGTGGAGGCCTCAGACACAGCTTGTCCCCCATTTTCCAGGCTGTCCTTTCTCCAGTCCCCAAGAAAATTAAGAACAGTTCAAAAGTTCACCAGGAAGACAACAATCAACATCCCCCTGGGGATGAGTGAGGGACATCTACATCTCAAAGACTCTACTAATCACATCTCCTATTGTCCCTCAACCCATCATGCTAGTAAGAAACACCCTGGAAGACTTTTATGGGGTCCCCCTAACCAACTTTTTCAGACTAAAGCTGCTTGGACAAGCGGCGAAACGTCTCTGCCAAAAAAGAAAAGAAGGCCAGTTGCCATGACTCAACCTCCAGACAATTCCACCTGGATGACTGGGAATCTTCATCAGCATCTGGTGCGCTGGGTTTGGAACATCGTCTCTTAAAAATAATACTATGAAGCAGGAAAGGGTGCAGCAAAGAGCAGCCAGAGCGCCTTTCCTCTGAGGAGACCCTACCACCTTGGCTCAGAAAGAGGGCGGTGGGCAGGACAGAGGTGTCATGAAGCTTCGGGGGGAAGCCAGATAAACTCGGGGGAGCTCCAAGGGCAGGATGCCCAGCGAATACCAGCTTCCAGGCGGCCCCGAGCGAGAGGGCCGTCCCCTCAGGTTCCGCCGGGAGCGTCCTGGGCGCCTCTGGGGCGCGGGGCGCGGGGGCGGCGCGGCCGGGCTCCTCCCGGGGCTGCGGGTCCCC